GCGACGACCCCGCCCCGGCGTCGCCTCGCGGTCGGGGGCTACGCAAGCAGCGCTCCAACGAGCTCGCGTCGCAGGATGAGGAGCCACCGCCGTCGCCGGCCGTCGGCAAGGCCCTTCGGCAAGAAGGCCAGCTTGCCAAGCGGAGGATGACAAAGACGGTGCGGCGAGCGGCGATATCGGCCGAGGAGCTTGCCGACGAAGGCACCGAGCCCTCGTGTGCTCCAAAAGCCCCTCCTGTTCGAGCAGCTCTGCTGGAGGCGATGAGCGGGAATGCGCTCTTCGAGTCTCTGCAGCCGGAGCTGCTCGAGGCGATTGCCGACTCGATGGCCGAGCACGTAGCCGCTGAGGGAGAAGTGATCATCCGGCAGGGCGACCCGGGCGACCACCTGTACATTGTCCACAGCGGCGCCTTCGCGGCCTTTGTCGCCGACGCGGCATCCGGCCAGGAGGCCAAGGTGGCAGATTACAAGAGCGGGCAGTACTTTGGAGAGCTCGCGCTGCTGTACAACTCGCCTCGCGCGGCCACGGTTCGCGCCCAGGAAACGGGCACCTGCTACTGCCTCGACCGCGCAACCTTTCGCACGCTCGTCAAGGGCTACCTGACCAAGTGAGCCCCGCAGCGCACTGCTGAAAAGCCTGGCGCAACCCTCCCGCTCTCATCGTGCCCCCGGCCGCGTACAGGTCCAAGGTTGGGCTTCAGCAGTACCTGAGCACAGTGCCGGTGCTACGTGGCCTGGAGGCCGAGCAGTACGCGGAGCTCGCCTCGGCCGCCGGTGTCGACGTCTTCCACGACGGCGAGTACATCTGCAGCATGGGCGAGGCGGCAGACGAGCTCTTCCTCGTCCTCTCGGGCGAGGCGCGCGCGCGCTTGCGCCGGCCCCGCGCGCTGCTTGGGGGCGATGAGAGAGGGACGCAAAAGCCAGCCGCCCATCGCCCCCCTGGCCCCCACAGGTGGTCTGCCACAAGGGTGACGGTGGTGAGCTGATGCGGCTTGCCGAAGGTCAATTCTTTGGCGAGTCGGCCCTCCAGGAGGGGAGCGAATTGCAGAAGCGGCAAGCAAACGTGGTTTCGGTTGGCAGGACCAGTCTGGCACGTATCCGAAGGGAGGACTTCGTCCGCCTGCTCGGCTCGCTCACGCAGGCAATGAATCGCAACCTCAACCGCAAGGTGCTCGCCGGAGTTGCGCTGCTGTCTCCGCTCGACGACGCCCTCAAGGACCAAATAGTGGACGCCTTTGTCGAGGAAACCTATCCGGATGGCGCCAACATCGTCACCAAGGGCGATCAGGGCAAGGCCTTCCACATCATCAAGTCAGGCTCAGCTGTGGTGCAGGCCTCAGACGACGTCACGCTCGGCCCCTCCCAGTACTTTGGAGAGAGGTCGCTCCTAACTGGCGAGACGGTGCGCAGCGAAGGCTCTTGCGCTCGAGACGGCGCGAGCGCCCGCCGCCCAGATCCTGGCCTGTCTTGTCCCCCAACTGCAGGTCAATGCGACCGTGGTAGCTCAAGGCGACACCGTGACGATGTTGCTCTCCAAGGCGACGTCTCGCACTCTGCGTAGCATGGTGTCTATCAAATCAACCCGCTTCCTCTGACGGCTCCCACCTCACCGCTGGATTCAGGCGCACTTCGAGCAGCTGCTGGGCAAGCCGCTCGCGGTGCTGCTCGAGAGAGAGCAGGCACGGCGTGAGGCTGCCAAGGCCGAGCGCGAACGGACACGGATCGAGTGGTCCGATCTCGAGGTCGGCGTCGTGCTCGGGGAGGGCTCGTTCGGCCGTGTCAAGCTGGCGCTGCACCCGACCTCGGGCCAGGCGTACGCGCTCAAGTGCATGCGCAAGGGCCAGCTAGCGCGCTTTAAGCAGGTGCAGCACGTCGTGAACGAGAAGCGCATCCTCGCCCTTTGCGACCACCCCTTCATCCTCAAGCTCGCCGCCGTCTTCCATAACCGGACGCAGGTGATGATGCTCCTCGAGATCGTCCCCGGTGGCGAGCTCTTCTCTCGGCTTCGCCGCGTGGGCAAGCTCTCGCCGCAGGCCACCGCCATCTACGCGGCGATGGTCGTCTCCGCCTTCGGCTACCTCCACTCGCGCCGCGTGGCGCACCGCGACCTTAAGCCCGAGAATTTGCTCTTCGACGCGCAGGGCTACCTCAAGCTCATCGACATGGGCTTTGCCAAGGCGCAGCGCCGCTCTCGAGCTCCGGAGGAGCCCTGCCTGTCACTGCCGGGGCATTCCCGCAGGTGATTGAGGACCGCACGTACACGCTGTGCGGCACACCCGAGTACCTCGCGCCCGAGATTATCTCTAACCGCGGGCACACACTCTCGTGCGACTGGTGGTGTCTCGGCATCTTGATCTACGAGATGCTCTGCGGCCGCCCGCCCTTCTGCGCCGACTCGCACATGGACATCTACCACGCGATCATGCGCGGCCGGTACCAGACGCCGCCCGACTGCCCGAGGCAGGCGCGGGACCTGATCTCGCAGCTGCTGGCGCAATCGCACGCCACGCGGCTCGGCTCGGGGCGCGGAGGCCACCGCGAGGCGAGCCACCGGGGGCAGCCAGTTGTGGGCGAGGAGAGGCGTTCCAGCATGTCCATGTTCCGGGCCTGTAGGTGCGCTCGCACAACTTCTTCGGCGGCATCGATTTCGAGGCTTTGGAGGAGCGGGCCCTTCCGGTGCCCTGGGTGCCAGAGATTACTGGCAACACAGACACCTCCCAGTTCGACAGCGACAGCTACAGCACCGACGACGACAAGACTTGGGATGGCCATATCGATCCGAAGCAAGAAGAGGTTTGGCGGCGCGAGTTCGACGGCTTGGAGTGCTCTTGATCTCCGTCCCCCTCGCAGAGCACGTCCCCCTCTGGCCGCCCATCTCGCCCCTCTTCGAAATCGTCAGGAGAGTGGCCCCTCCGATATGTAGCGTCTGAGTGCGGTACGTAGCGGTCCCGGTATGTAGCGCGACCCCCGCTACATATCGTCCGGTGTATTATGTATCGGTCGGCGCGCTACATACCACCTTCCGGGGGCGCTACATATCGGTACCGATATGTAGCGCCCCCGGAGGCGATATGTAGCGCTCGGGATATATATCGGTCAACGCCACGGTGTGAATTACTTCCCACCAACAAAGCACATATCGCCTACCGAAGTCGCGGGCGCCCGGTGTCGGTGTCCGGTGACCGGTGTCCCGGCCGCGCGCGAAGCAATGAGAGATTTTGTGGTGTGCTGGTGCGTGGTGGGCCATGGACGATCAATCCTAGCTGACTTCAGAAGAGCAAACTCGCACCTCTCTGAGTCGCAGCACGGTGTACACCCACGCGTCATCCACACGACATCACACAAAAAGCGCCGTCACGTATCGATCGCGCGATGGGCGCTTGCCGAGGCCGGTCGCGTCGTAGATTGCGTCAATCCAGCGCATGTTCTCGACCGAGTCGGCCGGCGTGATCGGGAAGCGCGACCTGCCCCTGACGGCAGCCGCAAACGCGGCGAGCTGCAGCTCGAAGGTCGGCGCGCCGTCTCCGTAGACGCGCTCGGTGCGGGCGGGTGCGCTGTCGGGGTGGACGGAGAGCGCGTGGTAGATGTGCGGGAAGAGGTAATTTGTGAGCGAGAGGGAGCCGCGCGAGGCGGTGAGATGGACGTTGAAGCCAATGGAGAGCGCCGAGGAGCGCAGCACCGCCGTCACCCCCTTTGGAAAGAGGAGCGTCGCGCTGGTCCCGAGGTCGGCGCGCGAGCCGTCTACATCCTCCACCGCGGAGGCGTTGAGCAGGCGCAGCGGCTCTCCGAAGAGGTACCTCGCCACGCTGACCGTGTAGCATCCCTGGCCCATGAAGTTGCCGCCGCCGAGGGAGACGTCCATTTTGGCGGGAGGAGGGCCCTCGGGTCGCTGCAGCCGCAGGGCGGAGCGCCCGGCGGAGAAAAGGGCGTCCGGGCTCGGGAGCCCAGCCGTCACCTCCAGCGAGGTTGGCTGGCCCAGCTCGCCGCTCCGCATCACCTCCTTCAGCCGCGAGGCGATCGGGTGGAAGCGCCAGTGGTAGGCCTCAGCGAGCACCAGCGAGCGGCTCTTTGCGAGCCGCGCGAGCGATCGCGCCTCGGCGGCGTTGGACGCGATCGGCTTCTCGACGAGCACGTGCTTGCCTGCGCGCAGCGCGGCGGCGGCCCACTCGTAGTGCAGCCCGTTGAGCAGCGGGAGGTAGACCGCCTCCACCTCCTCAAGGCCGAGCACGGTGGAGTAGGTGCCGTGCTTTTGGATGCCCCACTGCTTCGCGAGGGCTGCAGCGCGCGCAGCGTCACGCGCTCCAACAGCCACAACGCGCACTGCACACGGCAGCCGCGAAGCGGGATGGAGCAGGCCGAAGGGTGCGATTTTTGCAGCACCGAGGAGGCCGACACGGACCGGCGAGGCGTCAGCGTCAGTGCACACCGATCCAGGCGTCAGCATGCGGACGACGCGCTGCCACACGCCTCGTAGGCTGTATGCCAGTGCCGCAGCCAATAATGCTGCCACCAGCAGGCGCGGCCGCAGCATGCGGTGCCGTTCTTTGCCAGCAAGGTCTAGGTTCTCGAGGGGGACGCGTTGGGTCTGTGAGGGGCTCGCACCTCAACCTCTCACAGACCAGCGCCACAGCGCCATAGGACGTATTTTCTTCTCAATAACAAGGCTGTGAACCCCCCCCATCCCGGCCTCGGCACCTCAACCTCTCATGGACCAGCGCGCAGCGCCATCTGACGTATTTCCTTCTCAATAACAGGTCTGTGAACAGAGCTCTTTTATACAGGCTGCAGGGAGCAACTCGAGAGGTCGAGATTCTCGAGACTTCACGCGGAGTAGGCTGGGGCTATACCAGATAGACTCGGGGGCCGCGCTGAAACATCGAGAGAAAAATTTTCTCGCACGCTCGGTGTGCAACAAAAACACAAACTCTGGTGTGTGCGTGATTTCGTATCCAATCAAGAACACAGACGCAGACGCAGACACGCGCGCGCTGGCCGCTGGCATGGAAACAGGAAGGAAACCCCCCACACTTTTTCTTTCCTCCCCGCGCGAAACGCGTCTCACCGGGTCGCACCGGCAACATCATGCCGATCGGGCGGAGGATGAAGATGGCGGATGGCTTGTAGGCGTGTACAGAGCCTAGGCCTAGGGGCGACACGCCAACATGATCACGTAGGCTATGGTTTTTAGAATGATGTGCGCGCATGACCAGGACTTTTGTTGCCACACCGCTCTTACCCCGAGCCCAGCGTCATTCCATGTTTCATTCGCCACGTCAACCATTCGACGGCAACACTCTGCATCTTTTAGCCAAACGCGAAGCCGCCGAGGACGCTGTGCCACACGTCCCCCCTCCGCACGCACGCGATGTTGCTCCAGGCGCGGAAGTGCTGATAGCGGTCGTCCCAGCAGCCGGTCAGTCTCCACAGGCGCTCGTGCCCCGCCCAGTAGCAGTCCATCCCGCTCGATTCGAGGCTACCAATCACGTCCCGCAGCGAGGCGGAGGCCCAGTGTCCGATCGCGTGGTACTCAAACTCGAGGTAGCGGACCCGGGTGAGCACATCACGCGCTCCCTCCAGCACGAGAGCGTCGTGGCCCTCGGCATCCGTCGTCAGGATGTCGATCACGCTGCCGCCAAGCGCCAGCCGTTCCGACTCCACGAGGCTGTCCACTGTCCGTAGCCGGACTGAGACCACCGCCACCGGAGCATCGGCGGGCCGCTTCGCTCTCCGGTCTGGCGCTCGGGTGTTGTAGTCGATCCCGACATCCTCCCGCCCGGCGTGCGCAATAGCGGGGAAGTCAGCCGTCTGGCGTTCTGCCGCCATGGCTGGCGAGGTCATCGCTGCCTGGACCACCCGGAGGGCAGCGCCGCGCCCGCCACCGCGAGGGGCGTCGAATCCGAGTTGAGCGGCGGTTCGGTTGATGAGCGCTATGTTGGCGGGCAGCGGATCGACGCATACCACCGTTGGCCCCCTCGACGGGGCCATTGTGGGTGTGGGAGTGCCTGTGGCTGGTGGCGCACACGCCCGGCAACGACCACAGCCAACGTGCTGGGCGCGCAGTGCGTCGGACCATTCGCCGAGGAGGGAGCGTGTCGCACTGCCGGCCGGTCCTCGCGTCCAAAGGTCTAGAAAACGCACAGCGTCGTATCCCTTGTTGCAACCGACCACAACCACAGTCTTTGCGGGCCGCGAGTCGGCGTCACGCATGAGCTTCACCCACGCGCTGCGAGGGCAGTGGGTCTGGCGCAGGTTCTGGAAGAAGTTGTCCGCGATGGCGCTGGCGTTGCACGATGGAGGGTTCTGTGCCATCATGTCGATCGCACAAGGTGTCTCGCGCAGTGGGGCGGCCCCGGCCTTTCGGCAACGGAAGTCCAAGTCGGAACGAACGGCAATCGGACACGCTCAAGACTTGACTCTCTTGACCTGCTCTTGACTCATCAAGTGAGCACTTGAGCACTGCGCTGGTAGGGTCGGTTCCGCATGGTACGGGACCCCTCGATCGTCTCGCCCTCCCTCGCTACGTGTGTTCATTGGGGTGCGGGTGGGTGGGGGTCATGTAACAAACTCAAAGTCTTGAGTCAAAAACAAAATACAAAAAACGTTGAGAAAAGAGTCTTGACTCTCTTGAGTCTTGTCTGATGTCGTCGTCGTAGTCAGTCTCGACCAAAGCGGGACTGCACTCGCACCTTGCATTTCTACAACCGCAGAAAAACCGCCTCTGCGCGCCTCTGCGCATTCACCGTGACGCACGCCTGAAAGTCGGTTGCACGCTCTGCACGCCACCTCTGCTTGCGCCTTGCGTCGCTCGAGACAGCGAACGAGCGCAGCGCCAGAGCTCTTGCGGCGACGTCCCGGCCCTCTAGAGCTTGCTCGCCGGCGCGGACGACCGCGCCACTTGCGAAGAGCGCTCGACGAGCGTAGCGAGCGTCTACGAAACACGTGGGATAGGGTGAGGCGCACGGGCTTGCGCGCCGCCGAGTCGCTGCGCAGCGCAGCGCCTGCGCTGCCGCGGCGATCTCCCGCGCGACCTGCGCAGCGGGCGGCCCCTTCCCCTTCCAGCTGCTCACGGTGCACTCGACGCTGCTTGCAAAGAGCAAGTAGCCGACCCCGATGCCGGTCGGGCACACGGGGCCGAAGGAGAAGGAGGCGACGGAGGGCTGGCGCGCGCCCGAGGTGGAGATTGTGCTTGCCGACACCTCGGACCAAGCTTGGTGCAGGAAGAGGGCGGGGGTGGGGGCGCCGCTCGACGCGGAGAGTGCATACAGGGCGAGGAGGTGGCGCTCGTGCCCGTGGCCTGCCGAGAGAGAGAGGGAGGGAGGGGAGCGGGGTCGGGACGCGGCCGAGTTGCGCGGCTCGCCTCCCCCTCCGGCCAGAGAGACACCTCGCTGGCAATCCCGCACCACCTCGCGGTGCGACCGGACGGCAGCCGCGAGCAGCTCTGGCAGCCGCGGCGAGGCCTCGTCCCGCAGCAGCTCGGCGACGAGCGCCGCCTATCGCGCGTCGCACCGAGAGGCTCGCCGGCCGAAGGCGGGCGGCGCTGCGGCGGGAGGGCGCTGGCGGCGGGCGGGCGAGCGCCGTCTCGGACGTGACTGACCGGATCACCTCCGTGCGGCCGTGCGAGAAGGCGAGCGTGGAGCAGGCCTGGTGTAGTCAGCCATCGATGGTTCACTCACGAACTCAGTCGAGGGCGAGCGTGGAGCAGGCCTGGTAGACGGAGCGGAGGCCGCCCTCGTCGAGCCGCGCC